CACGCGGGGTAGGCGAGCCCCCAAGGCCAGCCCACCTCAGACACGCGGGGTAGGCGAGCTCCCGCAGGTCCCCACGTGTTCTGAAGCAGCGCTCTGACGGCCAGTGCACAGGGGGCCTCCTCACTCAGCCCCTCACCGTGGTGACAGATGTCACTGAGGAAATCCTGAAGCATCCGTGGAAACAAAGGAGCCGGGCACTCACCAAACTTGGACAGGATGTCCTGCTGCTCCTCCCGGCTGGAGAAGAGGATCTTGGGATTGAGCCCCTTCATGCTGAGGCTATCCCATGGCGGGGCCTCTCGGCTCGGCCGGTCTCGGGGCTCCACCTCCACCTCGAGGTTCACTTGGAACAGATCGGGGTACTTCTCTTGGATGTCGCATGCGTCCAGGTCATACCTAAAAGGATAAGCGGCAGACGTGGTTTATGAAGGTCCACCCACCTTCCCCGTGTCGCCGTGCTGTTTGTGTCTCCCAGGCCAGGGAGGTACCAGCAGGTGGAAAACACACGGGTGCCGGGCAGGGGACACAATGTGCCTCTGGGCCTTGGCCAGCTGCTTGGTGACCTCCGGATGTGCTCTGGCCATGTGACACCCACAGGAGCTCAAGGACAGAAGCCATTCCACTCTCCCACCTGTCAGCACAGCTGGACACATGGGAGGGACTTCACCATCTCACCGTGGGGACAGACAAAGGGCCTTTCCGCCCATCCTCACAGACGAGCCCTTTCCTGATGCGGACTCGAGAGACGGGGGATTCCGGGCCTGGACTCCCCCAGGGCCCGACACTGGCTCAGAAGTGCCCTCCACGGTACAGGGGAGACCTTGGTTCAACCGACAGTGGGCATCAGGCAGGTGGTTTTCACAAAGCAGAGCAGGCAGGATGGTGCCCAGGAGGCAGCAACAGTGGACAGGAGGTGTCAGGTGGATGGCAAGCTCTACGAGGCAGCCCCCTCACTGGCTATGTGCGAAGTCATGTGGCTGATGCCCAGTTGAGGGTGACTGGACACAGCCCCAGACCAGAGTCCTCCTCAGGTGTGTATCTTGCTCAAGTCCAGCCGGGGAGGCCCTAGAGCCAGGCCCTCTTTACAAAGAGCACAGCCATGCCTCCCGTGTCCAGCAGGGGCCACTATAAATGCAGGCCTTCCTCAGATAGAGCACAGCCGTGCCTCCCGTGTCCAGCAGGGGCAGCCCCACAGCTAGCCCCTCCTCAGACATGAACATGACCGTGCCTCCCATGTCCAACCAGGGCGGCCGCACAGCCGTGCCTCCCGTGTCCAAGAGGGGCCACTATAAATCCAAGCCTTTCTCAGACACAGCACAGCCATGCCTCCTGCGTCCAGGAGGGGTGGCCCCATAGCCAAGCCCTCTTCAGACATGAACATGACCGTTCCTCCCATGTCCAGCAGGGACAGCCCCAGAGCCAGGCCCTCTTTACACAGAGCACAGCCATGCCTCCCGTGTCCAGCAGGGGCCACTATAAATCCAGGCCCTCTTCAGAGAGAGCTCAGCCGTGCCTCCCATGTCCAGCAGGGGCAGCCCCACAGCCAGCCCCTCCTCAGACATGAACATGACTGTGTCTCCCGTGTCCAGCAGAGGCAGCTCCACAGCCCCCAACAGCCTAGCCCTCAGACGTGAGCTCGGCCATGCCTCCCACGTCCAGCAGGAGTGATGACACAAGGCAGGCCTCCTCAGACATACACACAGCCGATGTCCAGCAGGTAATCCCCTCCTGCTGGTCCACCTCCTCAGTCCACAGTCCTGTGGCTGACCACGCAGCCCCACTGCGCCCTGTGGGTGTCAGCTCGACCCATCCTTTCTGCACAGCTGGTTCTCAGGATGGTGAAACTGCATCCCCCCTCAGCTGCACACAGGCCACAGCTGGGGAGCTGACACACATCAACTGTGGACGCAGTTCTCCATAAAAACGATGTCTACTCGGGCAAAACTCTCAGACCCCCAGTCAAGGGGGACCCTGAGGAGCCCTGGAACCGCATGCCCAGGGCCACAGAACTCAGTTCCAGTGTGACCCGGGTCCCCAGAATGGCATGCACACCTGTGAGGTGGTCCTGGGCACACACAGGGCAGACAAAACAAAGGAATCCTACCACTCTAGCAGGGAGCTCTGGTGGCCTAGTGGCAAGAAGCTGCGCTGCAATCCCGAAGGAGCGTGGTTTGAATCCACCCGCTGCTCCCCGGGAGGATGGGCAGTCTCCTTCTGTGCGATGAGCTGCCTCTGAAAACCCACTGGATAGTCGGGCCTGTTCCAATTCACCAGCACACGACAACGTCTGTTTGTGTTAGGGGCCATCCAGTCAGCTCTGACTCTGCAGCCCCACGTGACAGAGCGCTTCCCCACGGGGATTCCACAGCCATAACCTTCACGGCGAACGAATCTGTCTTGGAAGTGTGGCTAGCACAGCCCTTAGCAGCAACACTGACGAGACTTCAGTGCAGGGCGAGTAGGGCGCTGTCTCTGGTGAAGGCCATCAGGCTTGGTAAAGGAGAGGGCCAGCCGACAAGCAGAGGAGCCTCAGGGAGATGGGTGCGCAGTGACCACCACACCCGCAGGGTCGCTGTGACTCAGCACAGACTGGACAGCCCCCAACATCACCAACAACAGCAGCAGGCAGCCCGGCCTCTCTCCTGCAGCACGTCTGACGGGCTCCCCCCGAATCTTTCAGCAGATAAGGCCCCTGTGTGTGATTGTAATGTTGTTGTTGTTGCGTGTCGCTGAAATGGAACTGACCACAGCTGACCCTTCAGTGGAGGAGACCGCCCATCTTTCTCCTGCGGAGCAGCTGGAGGATTCAAACCGCGTGCCTTCAGGTTGGCAGCGCAGCTCCTTACCTCTAGGTCACCAGAGCTCACTGTGCGTAACTACAGTCATAAGAAAAGAAAACAAACGAAAAGGAGCCAGGGGAGCGCAGAGTGACCAGCCAGCAGCCGGGATGGCCGCACGGCTAAGGCCTGCTCTCTTCCTGGTAGCTTAGCGTGTCTGTCCAGCTGCTAACCAGAAGCTCAGGGGTTCAAACCCACCAGCTGCTCTCTACGGAAGCCGGAGGGGTCTTCTCTTCCTGTCAACAATCAACGCTGGGGTAGTTGGCTTGGTTTTGTTTTTCTCTGGACTTGATACAATTAGCCGAGTGGGTGTTACTTTAATGTGTGAAGGGCACTGGTGTTAGTGTCCCTCCTTCCTTCCAATTGGAAAAATCCCAAAATTCCTCCGAGGAGGGGTTAACGGGTCAGCGAGAAGCAACAACTCCCCACCCCACAACACGTGAGAACAAGGATGCCTTCTTGCTGCCCTGGTCTGAGGCGAAAACCTGGGGCGAGTGGCAGGGCTGATGGCCCTGCCCACCTTCCAGGAGGTGACAGGTAAGTACTTGGCCAGGTATGGGGACTGACGCAGGACGTTCTGGTTAGCCAGAAGTGACTGTGGGGTCCATCAGGGGCCACAAGGGGTCCTGGAGGTCTTGGAGATGTCCTTAACAGGAAACTAGCTACCCCACCCCCAGCAGACCCCAGGGTCTGCAGCTAGCCCAGGTCTGTCCTGCTCATCACTGAGGTGGACAATGGGGATTTTCTGTGAGTGGGCAGTGGCCCCCACAGTCCCTGCTGGCCACAGAGGAAGGGGTGTTGTGCTCTGAGCCCCTTCTCAGGAAGGAAAGCTGGGCAGAAATCCCGGAGGGCAAGGAGTCAAGGGGTACACAACCTCTGCAGGGCTTGGTGGCAGGTGTCAGCTCAGTTCCGCTGGCATGAGATGGCCTTGGGGACAGCGCCAGGGCGCCAGGCTGGGTGGAGGTGCTGGGGCCCACACATCCCGAGGCCCCCAGCTGCCCACCACCCTGCCAGCAGCCTCAGAGTCTGCAGGTCAGCCTGGGCCCTGGCCTAGCCCAGTGGGCGGTGAGGAAACAATGCGGGGTCTGTGAGCACCCAAGGCCCTGACTGCTGAGGCCCCACACCCAGCTCCTGTGAGTGGACACCAGGGTCCTTGGGCCTACCCAGCCAGGAAATGGAAATGCCAGTCAGTCACCAAGGGCAGTGCCGGAATCAGAAGCTGGGCTCTCGTGGGAGGAGGCTGGAGCCCACTACAAGGTCACTCTGACACTGTGCTCTGGACGCAGGCTGGCGGATCTGAGGAGGCTGGGAGCCCGCTACACGACCACCCCAACACCAGGCTCTGGATTGCAGGCCAGTGGACCTGAGGAGGCTGGAGCCCACTACACGGCTACCCCAACGCCAGGCTCTGGACGTAGGCTGGTGGATCTGAGGAGGCTGGAGCCCAGATCAGCCGGGCCCTGGAGGCCGCTATTCCCACCACTGCCGCACAGCAGAGCTCGTCCCACCCAGACACACTGCCCCACCTGTGCACCCATCAGTCAAGTCAACCGCCTTCTCAACCCAGTGACTGGACCACGGTTTTGGAAGTTGCTGCTGTTGGTGTTGTTATGTGCCATCAAGTCGCCTGCAACTCACAGCGATCCTGTGTACAAAACCCTGCCCAGACTCATGGTTTCTGACACATCTATCCCCACTGCCTCAGTTACTGTATCAATCCATCTCATTCAGGGTCTTCCTCTCCTGTGCTGTCCATCCACCCTTCCAAGCATGATGTCCTTGAAGCACTGATGCCTCTTGGCCACATGCCCAAAGTATGTGAGACAGAGCTTTAGAATCCTAGCCTCAAAGGAGAAAATTGATTTTACGCTAAGATGGACTTGTCTTCGTGGCAGTCCACGGTATGTTCAAGACTCTTCTCCAGCACCACAACTCGAAGGCATTGATTCTTCTTCTGCCAGTCATTGTTCAGCTCTGAGATGCAAAACAAGTAACTGCAAAGACCATGTCCTGCATCAGGCACACCTTAGTTCCTAGACTGACATCGTTGCTCTTTAATACTCTGGAGAGGTTCCTGACAGCAGATTATCCCAGTGCAATTCAAGTTTTGATTTCCTGACCTCTGGTGCCAAGCGTGTTGACTGTGGAGCTGAGCAAGCTGTAATCGTTACTGTAGCTAACACTGAGAACAGGAATCCCAGAACATTTGACTGTGCTCATGCTAAACCTATACTTGGACCAGGAAGCAGTCCTCAGAACAGACAAAGAAAACACTGCATGGTTCAAAATCAGGAAAGGAGTGTGTCAAGGATGCGTCCTATCTCCATACATTTTCAATCCATATGCAGAACAGATCACTCGGGAAGCTGGGCTCTATCAGGAAAAATGTGGCATCAGGATTGGAGGAAGAATCATCAACAACCTGCATTATGCAGATGACACAAGCCTGGTTGCTGAAACTGAGGAGGACCTGAAGTGTTGACTGCAGAAGGTCAAGTTTTCAATATGGATTGGAGCTCAACACCAAGAAGACAGATTCTCATCACTGGGCCGACTGGC